CAATATTTTTTCATGATGAGATAGAAAAACTATTTTTACATGTAAATTATTTCAAGAATCTAAGAAACAAACTGATTTTTTTGGATTATTGATAATTTTTTCCAATGTTTTTAGAGAAATAAAAACGTGCCGAAAATATTTTTTTATTTTCGGGACGGTAATCTTCCCCTTAAATTAAAACACACCACTTGTGATCGAGTCATATTAACAAATAAAGCGACTAACGAATCTTGAACGTGTAGGGGGGCCTAAGATTAAACTCATGATGTTGTACTCTGTACACAAAAACGGTCGCTCCAAGGCCACCGAGCCCCTTATATGACCAAGTTGTTGTTGTAACCACACAAACCCTGCACTGACGGCAACAACGACGACGTTGCAAAGTTTCGCCAAGAACACGATAAGCAAGCGATGTGACTCTAGTTGTGATCGTGCGTATAAGTTGATCCATTCTAGCTACGGGCAAACAGACATAGCACTTGCATGTTAAGAATACTCGTCAGTGTATGCAGTTGTTAGTGTTTTGGTGATGATGTTTTACATTGCAAGATACCGAATGTGTTGTGTCTGTGTTGTACCTTTTTTGTTATTATTATATTTACAATAATATTTTTAATGTATCTTCGTTTTCTTTTTCCTATACAATACATACGAGTTGGAGATTAAAAAGAAGACAATGAAGTTCACAAGCCCATGCTACAGCTTACGATTTCCGACGTCGGTGTCTTCTGGTAACAGGAGAGGTGGAGTTCGAATTATCAAAGCATATAAGTGCTGGTTAAGAATACACATATATGCATGCACACATATGCACATAAAGTTGCAATTAACTGTTTCTTAACCATGGCATGATAACTTTTGTACGTTTCACCCCAGCAGGCCTGGGTTCAATCCCAGTCGGCGCCGCCGGGATGTTCTGAGGCATAACATCTCTGATGACGCCTTCCTTTGGAAGAGAATTAAAGCCGTTGGTACCCGGCTCATGACTTGATGGGTCGATAGGTAGGGTCCAGGTGTAGAAGTTGCCTCCCTGGCGTCGGTAGCATTGGTGCTGAGCACGGAAAACAAGATCGACGGAAAACAAATCAAGGGGATCAAAAAAAAAAAACTTTTGTGCGATATTATTTACAGGGTGATGAAAACCAAATTCCCTGATATTCTCAGATATATGTACTAGTGCTTTCTGGAAATGTTTTCATGAAGTACCCCATGTACCTCTAACCCGTAAAAAGTGGTCCAGACAATCTCAAATTGAATTCGATACATTTTATAGATTGCAAAAAAGACAAAAATTGCGTGCTGCCAAAATTGGGAAGGCACCGCATTTTTCTAAATTCACAAATTTTAAACATGGTTAGCGCCAGGTACTCAGTTCAAGAAGTATCCGGGATGTGGGTAGATCACCTTTTCGTGGTACGTTACGGGATGTAAGATCTACCACCGATTCCTAGTCCTGACTACTTCAATCTAGGGGTACAGGATATTTCAGTAATCAAAGGAACACATCTTAGTCCTTGTTACTTTTGCATGCCTTGTTGATAGTGATAAGACTCGGCTTGTCCACCGAGGATGATTTTGAAACAAGGAAAAATGAGTTAGTTAGTCTTCATCTATGTGATTCCTAATAATTTATTCGTTGTTCCCTAGTTTGAAGTGGTTAAGACTAGGGTTCTGATGCATGGTCATTATCGGTGTCATTGCTTAATTTTGTTGCTAAAGAATCCAATTTTGACTCACTCTTCAAAGGGTATACATAGCGGGACCTTTAAATTATAATCGATTCTTGCGATGAAGGCAACAGGGCTGGTAGCGATCAATGCTGTCAAAAATAGTGACCATTTTGAAGAAATAAGTGACCTAAGGGAAGAAAATTTGTCGTTCTGATGGCATACCAAATAAATGTTTAGACTTATTCAATAAGAATCTCATAAACACTTAAATGTACGATGGAACCTTTATAGCGAAAGATTTAATAGAAAGTTTATGACTAAACCTCCAAGTGTCTACTACCTGGAAAAACTTGAAAAAACGGGAATTCTCAGGGAATTTTATTTCTCCTGAAAATACCTGGAAGTTTCAGGGAATCTCATTAGTACTCAGGAAATTTAATATTTTTTTACTAAGGATATTCCAATGAAAAGAATGCATTTCAAAATAAAAACATTCAATATTCCTAGCTATTTTCATTCACACATTTGAAATCGGAGCATCAGTAATTGTATGGTGAAAATTAAGGGGGTGAAGGTTTTAGCATCACCTAGGATTATAGTTAAATCTGAGAATAACTCCAGAGAAATTCGGAAAATAATTCCAGGAGAGATTGCCAAACAAATTAAGGGGAGAAATCTAAGGAATTTGTGAGGAGAAATGAAAATTAATTCTAAGAAAGCCTTCAACGTGAGTAGAATTCCAAGGGAAGGAGTGAGTTTAAAAATGAAATCTGAAATGAATTCAATGAAGCAAATGTTGAGGAGAACTCCAAGCGAATTTTCATGAGAAATCCCCGTTGTATATGTAATGGACTATTCTGAGGTCTTCAGAACAACTTGAAAGTTCCCAAAATATTCCTGAAGTTAATGAAACTGCCTTGAGGTTCTTTTGTAGTTTGAGAAACTAGCCAGATGCTCGCAATACTTCTCATCATTCTAAACTTATCTAAACTTTTTCGAAATTTATAAAGTTTCCACAATTTTCCTAACGAACATGAATCTTCTCTAAAGTTTTAACAATTCACTGAATTTCTCGAAACTTTTTTAAAATTGATGTAATTTTGCTGCTCTGGAATATCTCTGGTCTGAGGATATCTGTTCTTTCTTGAAGTTTTGTTGTTGTTGAGCTTTTTAGCGAGATCAATATCTTTCTTGAAGTTCTCAAAACTTCTCTAAAGTGTTTGCAGTTCTCATAAAGCTTGTTGTACTACCCTGAATTTAATTGAACTGTTCTAAAAAAATGTAAGCTTCCGTGAACTTCTGGACTTATGTGAAAACATCAATAATTTTCTTCACATCTCTAAAGTTCTCTGAAAATCTTGAAACATCTTGAAATTTTCCGCTAATTTAGTGAAACTAATGGAACTGAACTCCCCTGAAATTCCCCTGAAATTCCCCTTGTTTTATGAGCTTTAAGAAATGCTCCCAAAATGTCCATATAAGTTCCTGAGATTCTCGGATCTTCCTTTAAGTTCCATAAACTTTTATGAAGTTCTCGAAATGTTTCTGAAGATCTCTGTACTTCTGTGAAGTTTTCGAAGTTATTCTGAAATTTCAGGTACTTCTTTAAGCTCCCGCAACGAAATAATTAATATAGTTGTATGATGTTCACTGAAGTTCTCAAGATTTATCGATTTTCGAAACTAATTCATAACTTCTTCAATAGTCTAGAGTTTCCTGATGTTTTTAAAACTGCCCAAAATATTTCTCAATTTCCTTAAAATTCTCTAGACGGCCTGAATATCTTAGTATTTTTTTTAAAGAACCCAACATTTTAATCGAATTGATTGAATTGCCTTTAAGTTATACAATTTTCCTTAAGTTTTATGAAGTTTATAAACGTTCACGGAACTTTGCCTAAAATGACTAATTTCCCTGGTTAGTCCAGCCCTGAACTTTCCAAGCATACCTAAAATGTTAATTTCATGAAAATATCGGTGCTTGCTAAAAGTTCTAGCATTTTTTTTTAATTAATGGAACTTCGTTGAAGTTCTCTAATCAACTTAGCTAAATTTTCGATTGTTTTTAGATCTTGAAATTTCCATGATATAACACTCTTGAAATACTCTCACATTTTCCGGATGGTCATATAATTTTTATTGCGTTCCAGAAATTTTTTCTAAGCAACCCAAAGTTTTCTTGAAATTCCCGGAAATTTTCTTGAAACTTCTTCACGACTTCTGCTATTTGCTTGATTTTTTTTCAACTGCCCTTTAATTCTTTGATCTGTTTTGAAGTTCTCTGAGCTTCCCTAAAGCTCCTAATGTTAATGAAGATCTTGGTTCTGCTTTAAAATAAATGGAATTCTCGTGAACACCTTTAAACTTCCCTTGAATTCTCTGGATTTCTGTGAAGTTCCTGAAATATTCCTGAAGTTTTCATAAATGTTCTGAAGGTCTCTGTACTGAATTTCTCGGAATATCTGGAATGATCCTGAATTTTTCTAAGCTCACGCTTATAGATTTTTAAACCAATCCGATAGTCTGGGCTTAAATTTCGGGGCCCTCCACTTAAGATCTCTGGAATTCCCGAAAGATCTCTAGATCTAGTTTTTCTGAGATAAACAGAACTTCTTAAAAGTTTCCACAATTTGCTAGTACGAAACTTCAAGACATTAAAAATATTGTGATCTTAGACTTACTAAAAATGAAGTAAAGCTGTTTCTTTAATGCTGATTGTCATGTCTTAAAAACGTTACAAATATTGGTAAATGGGTCAAGTGATTTTTTTTATCTTTAATAATACTTAATAACCCTATCCCAGACTCAATCATACAGGGCTATTTTTATATATACTGAACTTAAGCGACTGCTGCGTAAAGCATTTGATTTTTATCATGCTTTTAACAACAGAAGGAGTAAATTTTCAATATTACGATTTTTTCTTTCTCTACTTATCGAGTGTTTAGCTCTACTAGGTCGCACCAAAAATCTCAGTTATCATCCACTTATGAATTTGTGTACACGAAGATTACAACTGATAACCGCACTAATCCTTCACGGAAAATACTTAAATAAATCAAAGCGACGTGGATTCGAGTATAAGCAAACCTATCTAAAGATAAAGAATTCCTTAATCGATCAATGATGACGAAGCCTAAAGAGTTCAGCAAACAAATCATTGATGTAATGCAAATTGATAACGACAATGGCCACATTATTGGCAAATTGTGTTCTCAAAAGAAGAAATGCGAAAACATTAACATGCTACTGTTTTCATTCGCCACCAACTACGGGAACCTCGGAAAATTTCTGATAATGATTGAAACAACTTTCGCTTCTCCACAAACAGGTGATGATCCGGAACTGCTCTACGTATGGTACCAGACGCTGTACGTTCACTCATTTTACTGGCTGATGGGTTCACTTTACATAATGATGGACATCACCGGTCGCCCCAGGTTCCTTCGAAAGTATAAAACACAACCGGGAATGAACGAGCCCCTCATCTGGTGTGATTTAAATAAGGTATTCATATGATCTCTTTAATTCATTTAATTCTGGAAATCTTTTTTTTTTAGATTATAAAAGCAGCTCTTGTCAATCAAGTCCTGATAGGCCTTCCGCTATCGTACATCCTCTTCCACTTGTTTGCCCAAAACGCATATCCAAACGTTCGAATTTTACCCTCCCCGTTCGAAGTCCTACGCGACTTTCTCATTAGCGTCGTCTTCTGGGAGGTTGGCTTCTACTACAGTCACCGATTGCTGCACCACCGGTACCTGTACCGGATCGTTCACAAACAGCATCACGAGTTCACTGCTCCGGTCGCGTGGGCCGCTTTGTACGCCCATCCGATCGAGCACATTTTTAGCAATATGATTCCCCCGCTACTGGGCATCGGCCTCATGAGGAGCCACTTTGTAACGACTCTAGTTTGGTTCACGTACGTGATGCATGACACCTTGGCGACCCATTCGGGATACCATCTACCGGTGCTGGGCAGCTCCGAGAGACACGATTATCATCACCTCAAGTAAGGATCGGATCGGGGTCAAGATTGATGATGGGAAGATATGATTCAAACAATATGCATTTTAAATTCCACAGATTCAACCAATGCTTCGGCGGATGGGGTCTGATCGATTGGCTGCACGGTACCGACGCGCAGTATCGTAAATCCAAGAACTATCATCGTGATCAACGGCTTTGGTGCTTGAAATCCGCGCGGGAACTGGTCCCCGATAAGTAGTTGGCAGCGCGAGAGTGAAAGGACTTTGTGTTGTGTAAGTGGGACACAGCAAAGCTCTGTCAACTCGGTAAATTTAATTTGGATCAGCTCCACCACCTCTTCGTTCTTGGCGTATAATAGTGCCATGTTTTAGTAACATTGTTTATAGTTGTAGCACAATAAAGTTCAATCGGATCGCAACCCGGATTATCTCGTGCTTGCTTCTACGTCAGACTATAATGGCCGAGAAAAGATTCACAAGATTAGAGCTGGAACCCGTTTCAAGATATCACACGGTAGCCCTTGAAATGTATACAAATCCTGTGATTTGCAATGAATGGAGAGGAAAAGCTTTTTTTGCAGACATGTTCCTACCCATAGAAAAAGCATTGTAAAAATGAAAGAAATGGCAAAGCGTTCATAATGACACAGGGAGACAGTCAGTGAGGTGAAAAATGAAAGTTCAATCCGGTCGAATCAAAGTTCAATAAACAAACGTGTGCGATAAAACCTTAATCTATTTAGCAGTAATTTATGATTGGCTGACGGAGCCCAAGCCCAGTGCGACCTCTCTATCTGTTTCTCCCTGTCTCTCTATCATCTACACGAGTCTGGTTCCTATACAATCTCGCTCTCGTTCGCATTGTGTTGCTTTAAATATCTAGGGGAAGACTGGGTAAGATGGCTGTCTAGCAGTTAGTTTGAGCTCTTTAAATAGTTTCCATGCAGTGTTAGGGTATTCATTGGAACAATTGTCAAGTTTTTTAGAACAAGTTGCATTACATTTTGTAGCAATTTGAGATCACACGATCAGCGACGTAGGTCGTGTAGTGGTAAGCGTGACTGCCTCTCATTACAAAGGGCCTGGGTTCAATCCCAGTCCCTGTGCAATAATGCACTCGAACGATACTGAAGAGAGCAAAATCTTAGCTTTAAGCTAAAAATAGATGCCCATATATGGTGAAAAGATAATTGGAAAAATTGGATGATGATAGCCGTCTTAAATTTGGAAGATTAGGCTGAAGTAAACAGGCGTCCGTGTGACCAAGACCAGGAGATAGTGCAGTGCAGTGGAATTAAATGGAAGATAACCTTTTTTTGCTGTTTTATTAAAGCATTCCGCTAACAACCCAATTTCATTACTTCATTATGATGGCTACCAAGCCTTTGGGATTTTCCTTATTAGAGAGTTAAATAGATTTTTCTCCTTTAGCTTACTTAAATCTTTGGTTTTAATTAGTTAGGTAGGTTCCGATTCAACACATTGTAGTTTCATTTATATACCTGTGATCTTGACTTTTATACCTAGGGGATGAGTACTTAAGGGGGTTAGATTTTGATAAGTTCTTTAGTGGGAATGACACTGATGAAGACTGCACATTGTAGTCGAAATACGTATCTGTCATGGATACCAAAATTAATTAAGTGGAATTAAATGGAAGATAACCTTTTTTTGCTGTTTTATAATAAGTGCAGTGCAATTATTTAATACCCCTCCCCCTTAAATTATTACAATCAGCCAATCTGACAAAAGTATTACACTTCCAACAGGAGGACCTCTTGTGCTCTTGTACATCTTGTACACCTCGTACCGTATTATTAAACGGTCTCACACGGCGGCTCGGAAGTCAAGATGGCTTCCGAGCCGAATTGCAAAAGAACCTTTGCTGTTCTCAAAGGGCAATCCCCTGAGGCCGCTGGCCTTAATCGTAAAAAAGGGTCCCTTCTCGGCCCCACCAAGGTGGCCATGTCATGGTCAGCCGATTCAGCCAAGGAAGGAAAACGCCTGCCAGCCAAACGAGCCAGCAACGCCTGCTGGGTCGTTCGTGGTTGAAGAATATCCGCCATTCTCCCAATCCAGCACTGTTTGCAGCCCGGGCCGCAAGTGATCTTGACATTCTTACCTAGGAGATGAGTACTTAAGGGGGTTAGATTTTGATAATCCTTTAGTGGGAATGACACTTTTTTTTTTTTTTTTTTTTAACTCTTTATTTGTTCCAAATTCAAAATAAATTACATTTCATTTTAACCTAGGTGCTCCAGTTACTGCAGTAACGTACCAGCCTTAATTGTTATGATATATATCTAAGTGTTTTTACATTGTTCATGTCTTGGCAATTCAGTATTTTAAACAGGTTTTTTAACCTGCATGTCAGTATAACAATTGATATCTTAAAACTAAAAACTAAAACTAAATCTTATCTAAGTATAAAGGGAATTAATCGTTGCAATTGAGGATTGCAACGATTTTTGCCTGAAATTATTAATTATTTTGTTAGACATTTGTGCTAAAGTCTCAACATTCGAAATTCTATGTACTTCGGTTGTACTGTACCAGGGAGGCAACTTCAAAATCATTTTCAGAATTTTGTTCTGAATCCTTTGAAGTGCTTTTTTCCTGGTAGTGCAGCAACTAGACCATATTGGTACAGCGTAAAGCATGGCCGGTCTAAAAACTTGTTTAAATATTAGAAGTTTATTCGTCAGACAAAGTTTGGATTTCCTGTTTATAAGAGGATACAAACATTTAATATATTTGTTACATTTGGCTTGAATGCCCTCAATGTGATCTTTAAAAGTTAATTTTTGGTCAAGTATTAATCCAAGATATTTCACTTGGTTTGACCAGGAAATTGGAACTCCGTTCATAGTGACTATGTGACTACTACTAGGTTTCAAAAACGAAGCTCTAGGCTTATGTGGAAATATTATAAGTTGAGTTTTGGAAGCGTTGGGAGAAATCTTCCATTTTTGTAAATAAGAAGAGAAAATATCTAAACTTTTCTGAAGTCTGCTGCAAATAACACGAAGACTTCTTCCTTTAGCGGAAATGCCTGTGTCATCAGCGAACAAAGATTTGTGGCAACCCTGAGGCAAATCAGGGAGGTCCGAAGTGAAAATGTTATACAATATAGGCCCAAGAATGCTACCCTGAGGAACTCCTGCCCTAACAGGTAGTCGATTAGATTTGGAATTTTGATAATTTACTTGAAGAGTTCTGTCAGTTAAATAATTTTGAACTAATTTCATAATATAAAGTGGAAAATTAAACTTTTTCAATTTAGCAATCAAACCTTCATGCCAAACACTGTCGAATGCTTTTTCTATGTCTAGAAGAGCAACTCCAGTTGAGTGGCCTTCAGATTTGTTTGAACGAATTAAATTGTTAACTCTTAAGAGTTGATGAGTAGTTGAATGCCCATGGCGAAATCCAAACTGCTCATCTGCAAAAATTGAGTTCGTATTGATGTGAAGCATCATTCTATTCAAAATTATCTTTTCAAAAAGTTTACTTATTGAAGAAAGCAAACTTATTGGACGGTAGCTAGAAGCTTCAGCTGGATTTTTATCCGGCTTCAAAATTGGAACAACTTTTGCATTTTTCCATTTATCAGGAAAGTATGCCAAATGGAAACATCTGTTAAATAATTTTACCAAGAAAGACAAGGTACTCTCTGGGAGTTTTTTGATGAGGATATAGAAAATTCCATCATCACCTGGAGCTTTCATATTTTGAAAATTTTTAGTTATAGACCTTACTTCGTCCAAATCAGTCCCCCAGGAATCATCAAAAATATTTTCCCGAGAGAAAATATTCAGAAAATCCCGAGCAACCTGATTCTCAATAGGACTAGTAAGACCCAAACTGAAATTATGGGAACTCTCGAATTGCTTAGCAAGTTTCTGAGCTTTTTCCAAATTTGTGATCAAAATTTTACCACCTTCTTTAAGCGCTGGAATAGGCTTTTGAGGTTTTTTCAAAATTTTTGTGAGTTTCCAAAAGGGTTTGGAACTCGGGTCTAATTTAGAAATATTATTTTCAAAAGTTTTGTTCCTCAGGGCAGAGAATCGCTTTTTAATTTGTTTTTGCAAATCCCGCCAGATAACTTTCATGGCAGGATCGCGTGTTCTTTGATATTGTCTCCTACGGACATTTTTAAGACGGATCAAGAGCTGAAGATCATCGTCTATTATAATTGAATCGAATTTAACCTCGCATTTTGGTACTGAGGCAGCTCTCGCTTCAACTATAGAAGTAGTCAGAGATTCAAGAGCATAATTAATTTCATCTTTGGTTTGCAAAGGAATGTTTGGATCGAAGTTATATTCCATAAATGTTCGATACTGCTCCCAATCAGCTCTATGGTAATTGAAAGTAGAGCTGTTGGGATTACAAATTATTTCTTGGGATATTTCAAAAGTTACTGGAAGGTGATCAGAACCGAAGTCAGCATGGGTAACCAGTTGGCTACAAAGTTGACATGAATCAGTTAAGACCAAATCAATAGTGGAGGGATTTCTTGCAGAAGAAAAGCATGTTGGGCTGTTTGGATATTGAATAGTGTAATAACCTGCAGAACAATCATCAAACAGAATATTACCATTGGAATTGCTTTGAGCATTATTCCATGAGCGGTGTTTTGCATTAAAATCACCAATAATGAAGAATTTAGACCTATGACGGGTAAGTTTCTGGAGGTCACCCTTGAGAAAATTCTTTTGCTGGCCTACGCATTGGAATGGCAAATAGGCAGCTATAAACGTAAGTTGTCCAAATTTTGTTTCAACAGAAACCCCCAAAGTTTCAAAAACTTTGGTTTCAAATGAAGAAAGAATTTTATGTTTGATTCGTCTATGAATAATGATGGCAACGCCACCACAGGGTCCATCAAGACGATCATTTCTATAAATCAAGTAGTTTGCGTCCTTCTTAACCTTATGGGCAGGTTTAAGGAACGTTTCAGTTATAACGGCAATATGCACGATATGAACTCTTAAAAAGTTAAATAGCTCGTCTTCATTATCTTTAAGAGATCGAGCATTCCAATTTACAATATTTAATGCTTTAAAATCCATTACTGAATTTTAAAGTCATGACAATATTATTTGCAAATTTTACTCCAGTTTGAATAGCATCAAACATGGAGTTAGATTTAAGCATATCAGAAATCATGTCAATTAATGAATTCTGTAAAAATTCCATTTTGGGGGCAGTAATGCTTCCTAAGTCAAAATTGTCAAAATTTCCGTTAGAACGTTGGTTAGTATTTTGATTTCTACCCGCTGCAATAGCAGCATAGGTAGCTCCATTAACTCGCTGAACATTGTTAGCAGCGAGGGGAGTAGGTACAGATGAAACATTTGAAGCAGGGGAGATATTTGTACCTACGGGTACGAATGTAGAATTTGTTCCTCGCTG